ACAGGCTCCTGCTGGGTCCTGCTGTTGCTGGCTGCCTGTGATCTTTGAGAGGCAGTGAGGGGCAGATAAAAATTAATTTTCTAAAATGTTTAAAGGCCCTGTGGGTTGGATAAAATGGGCTGGCGGGCCAGATCTGACCCACAGGCAGTATTTTGCCCACCCCTGGTAATCTGAAGTGATCTTCTATCAGTTTATGACCATTATTCCTAGTCTTCCCCTGAGGTGCTTCTAGTGAACAGGTGTTCTCCTAGCCCCTGATGTTTGTCCCTTATATACTTAAATGCTGTATATACTTAGTGCACCTTTTGTTTGGCTTTGGTTATTTAAGTAGGAGATGCATATGTTGGATTCAAATTTACTCTGAGGTCATTTTTAAGATTTAATTGTTTAGATTTTTTTATTTACTTCTAGATTTATTTTTTATACGGCTTTTGTTAACAATCCTGTGAAAGTGGTGAAACCTCATGCTTGTAAGGCATGCTTCCCTTAATGTAAATCTAATCTAGTTGTTTGCACAGATTGAAGAATTAAACATATTTGCAGTGAACATTGAAACCTACTGCAAATAGGAAAAATGCATGTTTGAAGAATACATTTATCAGAAAAGTTTAGTTAAATCTTCACCTAGAATTTGCTCACCAGGATTGCTCCAAACAGTCTCAGATAGTGAGCTGGTTGATTGGTTTGTTTTTAAAGATAACAATTTCCAGAGATGCTTGTTACTGAAAATAGTTTGTCAGAGTTTAGATTATCTGATTTTGGGGGAATAATTTCTAACACTGTGAAATTCTGTATACATATGGACAAACAATCAGGGACTTAATGGAGGGTAGGGATTTACTGTAGAACAGATGATATATGATAGTCACCCACTCTTATTCCACAGTAAACAGATAACTATAGCAGGGCAATTTAGCCTCAACTGGAACTTATTCCACACTTCTCTCTGTGTCTTTCAAGGTTCTTATTTTGGACCAATGGGGTATTCAGCTCTTGAAAGTGAATGTCAATCCTTAAGAGACTTTTTCTCTTTGTCAGTTAAAACAAATGCCAGAATTATTAGCTGAAAAGGTGGTTTTATAGGGGAAAAATGTATTTAATAACTAATAACTTTTTTTAAAGATTGAGGTTGTTCATTCTTGTATTTAAAGAAAAATCAAAACATTTATACTAATATTTATCAAATTTGATACCACCAATAAGTCTGGGACAAACTGGGTTTTCTTGCTCTGCATGTTGTACCTGGGTTTGTTTGTTTTTTTTTTTTGTAGTAGGGACCCAAATATTTGGATAATGGGTAGTTATGGAAGTATGGGTATCTAAATCATTACTTAGGTATATTTTGCCTCTGACTTTTGCAATTAATGATACAAAGAAAATGTAGCATATTTGAAGAAATTCTGTTTAAAATATCATGTGTCATATTATAGCAGCACATAAAAGCTTCAATAACAACTCCCTGGGAAAACATGGGGGTTTTTTTATTTTGTTTCGGGGGGGGGGGGGGGGGG